GTATATACATTTATGTATATAATATATATACATATATATATATACGTATATGTACGTATGTATGTATGTGTGTGTGTATCTAAGTATCTATGTATATATATATATATGTCTCTTTCTGTGTCTCTAGCCTGATGTCACTGAATCTGCCTGTTGTATCACATGCTGGCAAAATTTGAAGTTGTGCTTAGTTTCAAATCCCTTCAAAAGAACGCACTTTGTTGAGTATAGGGATGAGGTTTTGTTTTGTCTATGATATGCATTTGGGTGCATACTATTGAGTTTGACTTCAGTTTGGAAACGTTCCCAATCCTCTTCACCAGTTTTGGCTATGCTCCTAATCTGTTTTCCGGTTTGTTTCTTTTGTACTGGCCCTAATTACAGGGGTGTCCACGAGAAGTAGTGTCACCATGGGCGATCACAACCAAAGCCGACAGGACGATTCGAGTAGTGCAGTGTTCTCACTCATGGTCAAGATGTCCAAACTTTTCATGTACTTGCGGTAGGTCTGTTGGTGAGTTCTGAAAATAGTTTGTTCGTGTGTTCTATAAATAGGGTTGTTCGTGTGTTCTAAAAATAGGTTGTTCGTGTGTTGTAACAATAGGTAGTTCGTGCTAAACCTAGCAGCAGCTACTAGTTTTATCTCTGACATGATGATACGTACAGACACGTAGTGCTGTGGTTTCGCCTGTGGTCAAGAGGTCCATTGAGGTGGGGTTGTTCTTGTGTTCTATAAATAGCAGCTCCTGCTCATTCTATCGTCTACCAACATGACGTTACCCACTATATTTGTACTTGGAGGAGGTCTGTTGATGCGTTCTAGAGATAGTTTGTTCGTGTGATCTAAAGATAGTAGCACCTACTAGTTTCATCACCGCGCGTCGGCCGACAACCAATCCAGTCCCGTTGTGCAACGCATAGAGGTGCATTGCTTATACGTATACCTTGATCTGTGTATATAACCTTTACATACTCATACTCTCACTCCCTTCAATGTACACGTACCTATACACACACTCTCCAATACTTAGGGCCAGTACGCCCACCGCTCCTCGACCAAGCAAACCCGCCAACATGACGGACGCAGATGAGGACCTCTACGGCCCAGTTGTGCAACGCATTGAGGTGCAGATAGCTGATGTCTTTCGGCGCAAGTTGAGTGACATTCTCGATGGAAGCAGTGCTTACGACGAATGTGATGAGGTTCGGGTATGTTCATTGATTGTATTTACTGATATATATATATATGTATATATACTCACTCATTCTACTTGTACTACTTGTATTACTTGTAATACTTATTCTTCTTGTGCTATTCATACTACTCATGCTGATGATAGATTATAATCCTGAATCCCTATATATCTGTCTATGATTTCTATACCTCGTAGTTATAGATGGTAGTGTGACGCTATGTACAGTCTAGATCTGTACCGTACTTAGCTATGGGTATATGTGTTCCCGTGGGATCGAATAGTGACCATCTTTCTCACAAATCTAAAACCCAATCCCCACTTGCACTTCACAGCCACCCCAGAGACCGACGAAGGTGCCTATGGTTAAAAGCATGTCTTCTATAAACCCAGATACTGGCCCTGATTTACAGGGAGATATGCCCCGGGTGGCTAGGAGTCGGTCGAAGAGTTTCCTGAACAGAAACCGAAAGGCTTTACTTGAGGATGCAACCGCGGTTTCAGATTCTGGTATACTCATTAGTCCCCATCCGCGACGGAACACTCTGTGCGGAGATGATGCGGTCAAAATGCGCAAAACACTTGACCACCAAGGTGTGTGTACTTTGGC